TCGACCATTTGTCAACAGAATGTAACTCAGTATAGATGAAAATCGTTGTGGGGGTCGGATAGTCCTAGAAGACTTTCGAGTCGCTGCTACAAGTGTGGATGGTTCAAGATCTAATTACAGAATAATGGGAATGGGCGCACTGGACCCACTCTCACCATCACTATTATCCCTGCAATGGACTGTGACCTCTGGTAGGTCGATAAGCTCAGGCTATTAAGGAGTTGTATTAGCAACTGTACTGGACTTGTCCTTGTACATTGCTTTCTCATTGAACACCACGTTTTTGCTACTAATGATCTTTCGACTCTGCTCATCCCAGAATCGATATCCAAATGCCTCATCTCCGTAACTAATAAAATTGCATTTTATTGATTTCGCCTTAAGCTTGCTACGAGCATTAGCATCAACAAGAACATAAAAAACACAACCAAAGGTTCTAAGATGAGAAATTTTAACCTTTTTTCCACTCCAGACCTCTTCAAGTAGTCCGCACTCCAATGGAACCGATGGTCCACGATTGATCAAGTACACTGCAGTGTTCACTGCTTCTGTCCAAAATGTAGTTGGTAGCCCTGCATGCAGCCTCATGCTCCTAGCACGCTCATTGATGGTTCTATTCATGCGCTCAACAACGCCATTTTGCTGTGGTGTCTCAGGAACGGTCTTCTCCATTCTGATACCTTGAGCTGCGTAGTACTCCTTGAATCCTCCATGAATGTACTCTCCACCATTGTCAGACCTCAAGCATTTTAGCTTTAGGCCTGTCTCCGTCTCAACTAGGGCCTTCCAATTTTTGAACACACCAAATACGTCAGATTTATGTTTCAAAAAAATAAACTCATACCTTTCTACTGTGGTCGTCAATGAACGTGACATAGTATCGGGAACCTCCAAGGGATGTCACTAGGGAGGGTCCCCATCCATCTGTGTGTACCAGATCCAACTTTTCTGATTTCAGAGCTCTGCCACTCTTCAAGAAACTGACATTTTTCTTCTTCCCAAGTATACAGCTCTCACATATGCCCAAATCAACTGCTTTTAGTTCTAGTAGCTTGCCTTTTGACAAGAGTCCCTTCATGTCTTTCTAACTCATATAACCAATTCTGTAATGTCATAGCTCTGCAATACTCTCTACAATGGTGGTAACAATAGTATCATTGGAACCGTCTGTCATGTACAAAATGCCAGTCTTGTTACCTTGGGCCAGAACCAGTACTCTTTTAGAAACTTTCCAGGTGCTATTTGAGAACACTACTGAGTGACCATTGTCGTCAAGTTGTCCCACAGAAATAAGATTTTTCTTCAACTCGAGAATGTGCTTGACCTTTTGCAAGGGCCACACGTTCCTATTAGGAAGTGTAATATCAACATTTCCTATCCCCACTACGTTCAGTGCTTGTCCATCAACTAGGTACACTTTCCCAAAATCACTAGCAACATAATTCCGCATGATTTCTCGGTGAGAGGAGGTATGAAAAGATGCCCCTGAATCCAGTATCTAGTCATCAAATGAACTATGAACTGCAAGTAATAGTGTGTCTTGCACTTCTTCCGCCACTGCATTCGCACTATCGCCTTCTGTCTTTTTCAGATTTTTGCAGTTCTTCTTTATGTGACCAGTTTTGCCACAGTTCTAGCAAGTTGTCTGTTGCTGTCCAGACCTTGACTTGCTCTTGCCCCTGTTCTTTGATTTTGATCTTCCTCTATTTGAGTAGTTGTTGTCATATGACCTCCCACGAGTGTCAACATTCAGAGCAGAACTCGATTTCGAGGTCTCACTAGAATCTTTCCTGCGCACCTCCTCAACTAAAATTAAATCATGAATATCATCGTATTTAAGTTTCATCTTACCAACAGAATTACTAATAATCATTCTCATGGATTCCCAACTTTTTGGCATTGCTGCTAGCAATATCAGAGCCCGAATCTCATCATCAAATTCAATTTCAACATATGATAATTGATTGGTGATGGTATTGAAGTCATTCAGGTGTTGGGTAACAGACGTACCATCTGTCATCCTCAAATTAAATAATTTTTTCATCAGATGCACCTTGTTATTCGTAGAAGGCTTTTCATACATACCTGACAAAGCTGTCATGAGATTTGCAGTGGTCTTTTCCTTGATAATGTTATGTGCAACTGATCTTGAAAGGGTCAGCCGAATAACTCCCAGAACCTATCAATCTAACAATTTTCAGTCTTCATCCTTCATATTCTCTGGTTTCGTCCCCAATAGTGGAAGATGAAGTTTCTTTCTATAGAGGTAGTCCTCTATCTGCATCCTTCAGTATCCGTAATCTGTGCCATCGAACTTCTCAATTCCAGATGTCTTCACTTCTTCTCCAGCCACTATTTATTTCAGACCCGAACCTGGCTCTGATACCAATTGTTGTGAAATCAAACGATGACAATAAAGTGAAATTAATGAAAAGAATGCTAATAATGCAATCCAAACAATCACACAATACAGAATTTATGTGGTTCGGCAATTTGCCTACGTCTACGACACTTCAGGGATTTCACTATTCTCAAGAAAGAATATAGAGAGGGTGTCGGCTGTACAGTTTCAATCCAAAAAAAAAACCCTAATCACCGAATAATAACTTATATATGTCCTGCGCACAACGCTATAAAACGGGCCCAAAAATTTTACTTGGGGGCGTTGCCCTCGAACCCCCACGAGGCTTGTCCATGAGCGTTACAGCTTGAGCCTATCAACCTAAACTTCCACTCCATGGACCAAGCCTTAGAAAATTTTCATTAAAAAACCATGCAACATTTTCCGGGTTGGGTCATCATCCAGATCGCACACAAACTAAACTCCACAAAAAGAAACCCAACACAATCATGACAAAGTTGCAACAAAAAATTATTTTTTCTTGTAGTGATTTTTAATCTAAAAAAAATTTAAAAATTATAACAGTTGTTTGAGCATAATTTTCTGAGGCTGGCTACCCAAATGGTAAAAGTCTATGGCAAACGAATTTAAAAATTATGTCCGTGCCTTTTATGGTGCTAGTAGTGTTCAAATTAATAGTCGCTTGGTAAAGGAAATTTAAGATCATAGTTTAAGGAGAGAAAGTATAATTTACCCAAACTTAAATGTATAGGATCGTGAAGAATATATATTTGAGAGATCTATATAATCCCCATTTCATTTTCTCTGACCTTTCTTATTTTATAGAGACATGATAAAATTTAATTGTCCTCAAGTGATCGCCCTCATCCTGAAATTTGCGGTTAGAAATTTTATATAAGGTAGGAATACTAAAAGTAGTTATTTAGACCTAAAAATTTGACTTAATTTAATGACATAATGATGTAATTTGATTGGAATCATTAGATCAACACTAAATTCTAATGTTTGATGGAATTTACAGTCAATCCAAAAATTACAGTAAATTAGGTCAATAAATTATGTCTCAATAGCATTGCTCATATTTAATTATTGAAACTACTTATGATAAATTATAGGGAGTCAATATGAATATTAACTACTTAAAAGGATGAAAGCATATTTAATAGACATGAAAATATAATTAGTAATTAAATAATAGGGGAAGAAAAGAACAAAGAGAAAGAGAAAGAGAAAGAGAAAGAGAGAGAGAAAGACATAGGAAAAAAGAAGAACGTGGGGTCCATGTGTTTCTTAATAATTTTAATTACTGTGCAGATACTGTTAGTATTAGGAAAAATCGTAAGAAAAAAAATAAAATAAAATAAGTAGTGGGGCCCACAAGTTTAATAATTTCAGTTACTTTGAATGCCAGAAAAACGTTATAAGAAAGGGGGAAAGCATAGAGCTTAGCACGGGGGAAAAGAAAGAAAGAAAGAAAATTGAGGAAAGTAGGAGGAAGGAATATGTGAGGGTTAAATACTGCATTGTTATCTTATTATTTACGCTGTGTTTGGTATATAAGATTGGACATCTGGAGTGGTGGAACGATCATTCTTTAGTAGTACCATTCCTTTGTTTGATTTGTGAAAATAAAATTTAATTTTTATTCTTAAAGAATAATTACTACCATAAATAATAGGATTAATCATTCCCAAATAAACCAAGTTATTAGTCATTCCTACTCCCTCGGTAATCAGCCTAATTAAGTCGACGAAAACCGATCGAGGCCTATTCCTCGTCTCTCGCTCGTTCAGCCCCATCCTCTCTCTCTCTCTCTCTCTCTCTCTCGTCACTGCCCATCGTTCTTCAGTTCTTTGGCCCCAATCCTTCTTCTCTCCTCTCATCTTCTCTCTTCTCCTCCCCTATATGAACTTTTCCTTCATCAGCGGGAAGCATGGCGGTCCATCCCTCAGTAGCCATTGTATGTTTCTTCCTGATCTCTTTGTGATGCAAGGGGCTAGATCAAGATTTGACATCGCCACTAATCTCTGGTAACTCTTCACTTTGTTTAGTCAACAATCTCGAATCCAATTTAAGAATTTTGTTTCTCTATTACCCATTTTGAATGACATGCCTGCCAACTATATGATAAAAGTACCCTTAGAAATGAGACAAAATTTCATTCCCATTTTGTGCTAAACATATTTGATTGTTAGGTAACATGGTTTACAGAAAAGATTTGTATCAAGTAGTTGTCAATTTATTGCCTGAAAATTTATAGGAAAAAGAACCTTTGATAGATTTAAAGATGGGTTCCTTCTGGCAGACCAACCACACAAATTGTTGGGTATCATTGGTGATTTCCACAGCTGCTTGGACATGCCCTGGCCATGTATTCTGTCTCACTCAACCAATAACACGACCAGTTTCTAGCGTAGTCTATGTGTTGTCCAAGATGAAATAGAAATTATCATCTTTAGAAGAGTTGAGACATATATCTTGCCGAGGCTTCTCTCGGCTGCTCTAATGACCAGGAAAGGGGATATGAAGAGACAGGTTTGTGGGTTGTGCATATCACTCTCTGTGTATATACACCAGTCCTCTATTTGACAATCCCTGCATCATATTACCTAACAGTCGCTTGTATTGTGGAATCACGATGCAAGGTAATACAATCATATTATTGAGGACCATTACTGAATTAATTATTCTTATTTCAGATGTGGAGGATGATTTCATTATTTTTTATCCCTGTAAAAGGGATGCTTTTTACCCTGTATGTTTGTTAGAGGTTTAAAAGCAGGCTTATAAAAGTACACAGCCTAGTTAGTGCTTTGTGGATCACTCTCTCTGTATATGCACACTTATCACTCTTTCCATGGTATTTTGGTTCCTTTTTGCTCTATGTATTATGAAATGCTAAATGTGGTCTAATTTAATTTGACATAGCATGTCAGATGGGTTAAGCTGCTTTAAATCAAGCAGGATAAATCTTGTTGATCTGGCTGGGTCAGAAAGACAGAAGCTGACCAGTGCAGCTGGAGAACGATTGAAGGAAGCAGGGAACATAAATCGATCACTTTCACAACTCGGCTATGGTTATGCAATCCGTTGTCATATTGTAGTTCATTTTGATGTTGTTTTGCAGTAGCAGACCTTTTCTTCCCGATAAATAACATTAGGCTTTTTACCTAATATATAGTTTGAGTTAGAAACACTCAATTTAATCTATGACTATGGCGGTGTGATTATTCTTATCCTACTATTGCACAGTATACTGGAGAAAATGAGCACCATGAGCTCTTGCAATAATTTGATAGGAACCAAGACAAATGATGAGACTGACATTCTTTTATGTACCTCATAATGGATGTNATCACCATGAGCTTTTGCAATAATTTGATAGGAACCAAGACAAATGATGAGACTGACATTCTTTTATGTACCTCATAATGGATGTTGAGGCTGATATTTGAAGAAGTCTATCCTCACAGAAATTCCATCACAAAGTAGAATGAAAGATAAAATCATGCATTTAGAGGGATTTTTGCATTTTTCATGACATGCTTAACGGGATTCATACAAGTGGATTTGGATTATTTGTGTTGTGAACCAAAATCATGCATTTAGTCAATTGTTTTTTTCCATGTGATGTCTACTGCCATCCTTTACTATATGAGAAAGAAATTGATTGCATTATTTGTGTTGTTTGCACTGCTGTTTGCTATTTGTTAAGTTGCTGAACTATGGTGCTGCTGTGCTGAGATGCTGTTCTGCTGGGGATGATTGGAGCTCTGGTTGGAGTCTGATCTGGTTTTCTCCAAGATCAGTCTATCCCTGTGCAGGCAAGGCTGTTGTTATTGCATGACTAGCAAGTGTTTCAGCTGCTGAGGAAGAAGAGGAAATTTATCTGATTTTCCTTTTGCAATTTTGAGATTTTTGAAATTTCATTGATGTAATTTTTTGGATTATAGGGTGTATTGAAGGATCAAGCCAAGTTGGTTTGGTCCTCTTTGCTTCTTGTAAATTTNAAATTTCATTGATGTAATTTTTTTGATTATAGGGTGTATTGAAGGATTAAGCCAAGTTGGTTTGGTCCTCTTTGCTTCTTGTAAATTTTGTTTCATGGAATAAAAATTCTTTTTTCCTCAAAAAAAAAAAGAAAATTATGTTTTCCATGAAAAAGGTTATTCTTGAAGGATTATGTAGGACATTGATGAACGTATCACATTTTTTTTTTATTTGTTATTTATGATTGATTTTTATTATTTTTTAGTAAAAACTTTCATCATGTGATTCTTTGTGACCTTATTTACGACATATTTAATCTAATTTGTCAAATTTTAAAATTAACAGAAATACTCATTATAACGAAGTATGAAATAACTTGGAAATTTTATCATAAAAAATTATTTTGGTTAAATTTCATTCCATTCTAATATAAATTATTTTATCCAAACTTTGGAATTGAATGTGCATTCCATTCCAAGACTTAATCCTAATTAATTGTCAAACATTGGAATGGTAATACACATTCCATTCAATTCTCAAGTTTATTTTATTCTCATGTCCATTCCATCCCTACGTAAATGCATTACTGCGTACCAAACGCAACTTAGAACATATTTTGTGACCCTGTGGGGGTGTGAATGTGATTATGGCCTTGAGGGGCATGAATCTGGTTATGGCCCTTTGGTTGTGCATTTGTGATTGTGACCTTACGATGCGTGATTATGACCCTAGTGAGATGTATTTTTATGAATTTATCTATACTATTTATAAAAATATCTTTAAAAAAAAATTTTGATTCACAATTTTACTCTTATAAAATTACATATTATTTATTATATCCTAAAATCAATGCTAGAAATTTGGTTTCCTTTCTAATTTAATAACCATCATAATTGATTTAACTTTTGCAATGCCCTAATAAATGTTTAACGCAAAATCAATGTATTGAGGAATTTAAATCATTTCACCTTGTATAAAGTTTGCTGTAACATTTTGTGCGCGGTAACTTTTCGTCTTTTGTTTTTGGTGATTGCTTTGAATTTTGCAGTTGGTTCTCCTACAGGCATTCGGAATTCTCATGATAAACTATCTTGAAACAATGGACAATTGTTTTTTTTGCTGGTTTTCTTCAAGTTCAATGTTTTTTATTTGACATATTTAATATGTTGTAACTTCAACTTTTATTTGGTTTTCCAGTAAGTAGTATAAAATGGAAAGCTTTAAAAGCTGGTTTTCGTTCTTGCTTTATTTTATTTTTTCCCTTTCACTTTCCTAGCAAACAAGCTATATCAAACACTTAAGGCTTGGCTTTTCACTCATCACAATAGCCCAATGCTGCCACAGTGGACGAGGGGTGCTCGCCGGTGGATTTCGACTTTGCACAACAAGGATCGAACATAGCAGAGGTAAGTAGATAATAGATCTATCTACATGTTTAATTAACATATTTTGCCCTTTTTATGCATATTTTAATATGGGTTTGTTCTGCATGACATTGTGGCTTGCGATGGCTATTTTGTGTCAGGTCTATGGTCCATTAGATTGCCATGGGCAGATTTACGCCCTAAACCTCCTGTTATCATGGCTTGTATTTGTGATCGGTAAAGAACCCATGAATAGGTGTGTGCGTGTGTGGTCGATATTTCTATGAGATCCATGGTATAAATTATATAGCGTTGTTGCTTTCCTTATTCTAAAACAATTACTAGCTGGCAACTGTACATAATTCAAAATAAGAAAACTTCAAGGAGTTATTAATAATATGTATCATTTCAAAATGTGTTTTTACAATGTGTATGTCTAATTTGACATTAGAAGATTTTTTTGCCTACAAACATATAAAGAGAATATATATCATAGCTTTTCAATATATTTATATATACGTATATATTTGCAGCTCGAACATGACTGGTACACAGTAGAGTCCTCACAAATTCTATGAATGAATAATAGTATGTTTGTAATGCATCATTTACTAATGGGAAGGCAAATAGCACTTACATCATTGTTCAGAATTCTTACTAATTTTTTTGTTTCTACGGTTGTTTCTGTTTAAAATGCCAGATTTGAAAGTAATTGGAAAAACATGACTTATTGCACCCTATCTTTTTACAACTTTTTGGTTTTCAACTTAATTTCTAATAACCTCTCATTTATTTGGTAACTTCTGACCTTTTTTAACTTCCCTTCACTTTCTATTACTGGTTTTTAACCCCTTCAAAATCAAAAAATAAAAAATAAAACAAAAAAACTCTCTTTAGCAAGTCTCCAAGGAGTTTGCATATCATAACAATGTTCAAGATTTGTAAATATGTATTTTAGTCTGCACTTTCAAGTTTAATCTTTTTTGGACTCACAGTGAAACATACATAGTCTAGCTTTACGGGTTATTGATTTTTATTTTTTATTTTTTATTTCATTTTTTGGAATTGATGGCTATATTTGATTTTACAGATTTGATTCAAATGGTGATTATCAGAAGGATTATTAGAGAATGATGAAGAAGAAGACCCATGACCCTTCAGTAATATTTGATTACGATTGAGACTCCAAAATCATGGCTACTTAAGTTCAATTTTGATCTATTGTAAGTTCAATTTTGATCTATTGTATGTTTACATATCTCTCTCTCTCTCTCTCTATATATATATATATATCTCTCTCTCTCTCCAATAAGTTATCTTTCACTAAAAAAACTACACAAACAAGGGACTCAAATTTTGTAGTCCGAATCTGAATCCACAGTAGAAGAGTTAAGTCATTTGAATTGGGTGCAGAGGATGGGTGCGAGTTCTCACTGTGTTATACTATTTATTATTGTTGTTAAGCAGATATGTAGTGTAACATTTGTTACTTGTACCATTCTATTCTTCTAAAAATAATACCTCCTAGACCAATTATATATAGAGCCACTTGAGGTGGCCCAATTTGTACAACTTGAATTGATTTGATATATATGTGTGTGCGTCTCTCTCTCTCTCTCTACATTATTGTCTCGCCATATTTCTTTTGTGCACGATGGCAACATATGAAAATTCGTATCTATAGATTCTATAGTTAGAGTTAAGAGTCTACGCTCTAATTTAGAGGCAAAATTTATACTATTTCATCTTTTCATCCCATATTTTATAGAAGAATTTTTTTTTGATTGACCCTATCAAAATTTTTTTTTTTTTTCTGGGAGTTGAAAGGGAAAGGCAAAGGGAAAGAGAAAGGGGAAGAGAAACTTCAACCTTTGACCTTAAAAAGACAAATTTTTTACAAGACAAGGAATACCATTAGACCAAATACCCATTTGTAACCCTATCGGATTAAGGGTACTATTTCTATCCGAATTTTGTCCAAAATAATCGAATAGTAAGTTATGTAAAAAATCAAGCGAACACGTATTTTTTAATTATTAATTTTTGAATCATTTCAATAATTCAATTAAGTAATCTGCATCAATTAAAAACACAATAAATCAATAGTACTAAAAAAATATAATAAATTTGATAATATATAAACAATTACAATAAGAAGACAATAAGAAAACAATAAACATCAATACATCATAATTATTGCATAAATTAACACGCACACAAATATATATATGTGTATGTGTGTGTGGGTAGGATCGAATAGGAATATGAATATGAAATTTTTTTGTATTCTGCAAAAATTGGATAAAGTTTTCCACATTCTTACCCAATTTTTGTGTGATACTAAAAATTCTTCCGTTGACCTATCCAATTTTTTGCGGTCACAGATCAATAGGGTTAGGTAGGGCCAGAATATGTGAGTAATCAAAAATATGAACACCTCTAATTAGAGTCTATTGTTTTCAAAATAACAAAAAAAAATTAACTAATACAAATACATTTAAATAAAAATTTATAGAATATTTAAATACATTAAGTTATATAACATTAAAAAAACGATCTTTAGCTATGCTACAACTTTTGTAACCTAATGTTAACTTCACTACTGTAACTCTTCTTCGCATTAAACATGTATAAGTAATATGTGAAGAAGTACGAATCATAAAAAAATTATCGCACGAATTTTTTTGAGAAACATGGCTTCTTAAGAAATCCATTGCCTGGTTTGAAACAGTCTTGGCCAAGCGGCTGAACTCCTCGTTTATGACAAGCTTGCTAA